GAGGGGCCCGCCCCGCCGGATGGCAGGGGCTGGCGGCAGCAGGGGCCCGTCCCCTCGGCGGGGGGAAGGGGCTGGGACGCCGTTCCCGGCCTCTCGGGAGGGGTGGCCCCCTCCGTGCGCGGCGGCTGCGCCGTCCGCGTCGCGACCGTCGGGGCCCCAGGCCGCGGAACCCCAGGGTCCGCGGTCGAGCGGGCCGCCCACGTCGCGTTTGCTCGCCCTCGGGGGGCCCGTCGCGGCGCGGCTTGTCCACGCCGAGCGCCCTGCCACCGAGCCGCTGCCCGCAGCATGCCTGCGCGGACCGCGTCAGGTCGCCTCGGCCCCGAGGGTGTCTGTCCGTCGGCGCGAGGCTTGCCTTAAGTCGGGCATGTCCCTCTACAGGATAGATATTCAAAAGTAGTAAAACAATCGTCTGGGGACGATTTGTTGTAGTATGTTTTAAAACCATTTTTCGCGTCGTTATTTGTTCCTTCCATTTTTCGCCCAGGATCCGCCTGTAGGGGGACATGCCCGACCTAAGGCTTGCCCCCCGGCTTCGTGCTCAACCCCTCCTTGGCCTCTGTGGAACTGCGCCGGGCACGCTCCAATTGCTGCGATCGGCTCGACGCATACCCTGTGGTTTTGACACGCGCAGGGTGCAGGAGTCGAGACTCCCTGCGTCGGCTCTGGAGAGGTCGACGGTCAGCCCGATTGGTTCTTGCTTGGCTGGTGATGCTTTTCTTGATTGCCGTCTTGGGCTTGGAGCTCGTGGCCTTTAGGCTTGAGTTGTCCGCTGCGTGCTGTCGTGCCGCCTTCGGCCCTGCGTCGGTCTTGTCGCAGGGGTCGAGTGTGTGGTTGGTGATGCCTTTGGAGTTGCCGACTGGCTTTCCATCGACTCGTATTGTTCTGCTTTTGGAGTAGAACCCTTCTTGCTGGGCTTCTCCCCAAACGCCAGTGGTCGTTGGGCCTCCCTTGGAGTCTTTCTGTGAACCTGCTTCTAAAGTGTTTGATCGCATCAATGGGTCATGTTGTGATGCGTTGATACCAGCATCTCGTGATTGGACAGGTTGACGCGTATTTCGCCCTATTACAGCAGGATGAGCATTCGGATTTTGAACCTGCTTCTTGGTTCTGGGATATTTGATCGCCTCAACGGGCCAGGTTGTGTTGCATGCGTATCAGCAGTTCGTGGCTGGATGCGTTGGCGTGTGCTCTGCGTCCTGGAGCAGGATGGAATTGCCACTAGAAGGCCTTCTCCCTTCCATCCATCTATCGATTCGTCTGTTCAGGCCAGCGGAAGGCCAGCGAGAGTCGACACAAGCACAGCGAGGACGGCTCCGCCGGCGGAAGGTCGGCGCCAGGCCAGCGGAAGTAGACATCGGCCCTCCAAGAGATGGAGGATTTTCTGGATTCAGGCCCCCTTGAGAGTGAGCCATGAATGTCGTCGTGGAGCACCTTGTCGGCAGGTTCGGGCCGGCGTGATCGCGTCTGGCCGTTGAGCCTGGCCGCGTGGTATGGCCTGCTCCTGGGGACTCTTTGGGGATTCCCCGCTCTTCACGCCGCGGGTGGGTGATGGCGAACGCTCCTCCTTGGTGTCAGGGCGGTCGGGTAGTTGCTTGATTTTATCCGCAGCTCTTCCTCGTGGCCTTGCTGGTCTGGTCTGTGATGGTGGCAAGATGCTCTTTGAGGTTCTTGTTTCAAGATCGTTGCTGTGCTCTGTTCGACCTATACCTGAAGTTGAGTCCCGCCTTAGTATCTCGAAGCTGGTTGTCTTTCATCTTGGGAGCTCCCACTTCGTACGGCGACTCCTGGACATGCTCGCACGTGGCCTCGACTGGGTCATGGTCGCCCTTCGTGTCCCAATTGCTGTCAATGCAATGCACCACTGCTGTGGCTGATGCCGTGGAGAGGTCCCTCTGTTTGACGACGATGTAGTCAAGCCTGAGCAGCGCCGTGCCCGAGTGCCACGTATGGTGGTCGGTGCCTCCGCTGGTGAAGGTGTTAGCTGCCAAGAACAACGGCGGAGTCCTGGGCGTAATGTTCCAGGTCGTAATCCTTCGCCCAATTGGTCTAATCTTCCTTCTCGCCCTCGTCATCTTGGTGCCTGCACTGGCTTGGTCGTCGTAGCGAGAGCTGTGGCCACAGCCGAGGCCGGCTCTGTCTCTTCCAAGAGCACGCTGGTTCAGTCTGGCAGGTCGTGCGCGCACCCTTGCTGGCTGGTATCCCTGCAGTGGCCGTCATGCTCGTAGCTATCGCGGTGCTGCGTCTCCCGCTTGCGTAGAGGGGCCCGCATTTTATGTCTGTGTTCTGCGCCGTCTGCACGCGCGCGGGACGTTTTTGTCCTTCGGACGCGCGGCCGGCGGTCTCTCCCCCCCTTCGCTCCCTCGCCTTTTGCCTCCCCGCGCCCTTGGCCGTCCACTTCGCCTCCTGGCTGAGGTTCTGGTATGGTGTTTTGAAGTGGTCGTGTTGACCGTGGGGTTCCCGCGTCCAACGCCTGGGTACCTCTTTCCTGTCTGCGCCCTCATCTGTTCTGCTTCTCCCTCCCGCTTCACACATACTCAGCGGCACTCTTCGACAGGCAACACACAGAGGCATCATGCTTGATCTGCGCTGTTCAAGGATAAGCCACGTCTGTGTTGCTTCAGGCGGAGAAAAATCAGCTGAAGCATGCGCTTTCGGAGGTCCGCGCGGGTTTCTTGGATCGGCGCTGGGCCTCCCTGCCTCCCCTGGCGCGCTCCGCCCGCTAGGCAGAGGGTCCAGCGCCGTTCCACCAAATCCGTGCGAACCTGCGCCCGTTTATGCCCATGTGGTTTGATCTTCTTCTGGGCCTGCAGCGAACGTCTGTGTTGCGTTCGGAACTGCAACCTGGCGGTCAGGCACTGCTGTGTGGCCGCACGTCTGGCCTTCCGTGCACCTCCCCGGTGCTTGGACCACGGGGTGGAGTGCTCGCAGTCGTTCGTGCACCGCGTGTGCCCAGATCTCGGACGTCGTGAGTTTCTCACGACGTGGACCCCACAGATCTAGACCCCGTTCCCCAGACCGTTTTTTCTTATTGAACAATGGTTTAAAACAATCCCGAGCCATCATCATCATCATCATCATCATCATCATCATCATCATCATCATCATCATCATCAGCATCATTATCATCATCAGTATCAGTATCAGTATCATCATCATCATCATCATCATCATCATCATCATCATCATCATCATCATCAGTATCATCATCATCATCAGCATGAAATCCGATCTTGGGCCCGTGGCCCCGGACACTCCTGTTCCCTACTTGCATCCCCCCGGTTCGGGACCCTCCTGTTCCCTCCTTACAGCCTCGGGAGGGGTGGGTCAGGAAGGCAGCCCGAGGCTGGGCATAATCGAGCACGATGAGAAGCACTGCGTGGAGGCGATGCACAAAGGGGAGCTGACGCCGGCGGCGGCGGCTGCGGAGGCGGACGGCGACTCCGACCCCCCCCCCCGCATACTTGCGTGGTCGACCTCTGGGAGCGCTTAGAGGATGCCACGCAGGGCATCGAGACCACCATGAAGTGGGATGGCGCCCGCGTGGCCAAGCGCGGCATGGTCATGTACCGCATCTCGCAGCTGGAGGCCTTGCACGTGGAGGCCCAGCGGGCGTTGGCCGACGCCGACGAAGGGCAGACGAGCAGGAGGCCGAACAGGAGCGTTTCGAGATTGGGGAGGCGCTCGCATCGGTTTGGTCTCACAGTGGCACGCTTGAGTGAAGGCCAGGGGGCCTACGGGTCGCGTATCGGGCTGCTGTGCGGGCGCGAGCGCACGTCATCCATATCCCTTGCCTTTAGCATTGAGAGAAATTCGTTGAGGTGCCCTGTCCTCGCCGACGCAGCGTGCCCGCGGGCGCGTGGGAGGGGCATCGGTCTGTGCAGCCTGTGGCGTTGAGCGTTCGTGGAATTGCGACGGGTCACCTTTGGAGAGCGCGATCTTCATCATCGCCATCATCATCATCATCATCATCATCATCATCATCATCATCATCGTTACTATAACATCACTGCCATCATGATCGCCATCATCAACAGCAGCACCACCGCCATCATCATCATCGTCATCACTACGTATTGCCATCATCTCCATCATCGCCACCGTGGTCCGTACCAGCGACAGCATCAGCATCATCGTCATCATTATCATCATCACCATCATCATCACCATCATTGCCATCGTCATCGTCGTAGTCACCATCGTCATCGTTATCGTCATCGTCATCGTTGTCAGAGTCGTCGTAATTGTGATCATCAGTACACTCATGTTTAACAAACTTGTCATCATCATCATCATCATCATCACCATGATCATCGTCATCATCACCATCGCCAGTTATCATTCTCATCGTCATCGCCATCGTCATCGCCATCGTCGCCATCGTCGTCGTCATCGTCACCCTCGCAACCACCATGGTTTTCATCATCGTCAGCATCGCCGTCACCATCGTTTTTGTCAATATCATCGTCAACACCAGCGTCATCATCACCACCATCATCATCACAACCACTGGTATCACCAACGTAATCATCATTGCCATCATCATGATTACCATCATCGTCATCACCATCATCATCGCCAGCATCATCACCACCATCATCACCACCATCATAACATCACCACCGTATTCGCTATCATCATCATCATCATCATCATCAGCATCATCATCATCATCACCATTACCATCAAACTCATCATCATCATCATCATCATCATCATCATCATCCCTACAATTGTCATCAACAGCAACTTGTTCCCCTCTCATATGCCCCCTCCTCTGTCCTCCCCCTGCCTCGCCTTCTCCTCCTCCTCCTCCTCCTTCTCCTCTTTCTCTTCATCTCCTGGACCTCCCTGTCCCTCCCCCCGCGTCTCTTCCTGGTTGCCCCTCCGCCCCGTTCTCCTTCTCTTCTTCTCAATGCCCCTCCTCTCCTTGCCCCTCCGCCTCCTTGCCCCCCTGGCCTTCCCCGCCCTCCTTCCTGGCACCCTTCCGCGCCTCGCGCGAGGCAGTGGTCGAAGAGGCTTGCGGGACGCTGACGCGGAGCCAGTAGGGGAGGCGCCAAAACGGGGGGGGGGAGGAAGGGGTTACATTCCGAGGTCGAACGAATCAGCGGGCCCCGCCCATACCTACCCTCCTTCCCACAGCCTAATGAAAGGTGGCACGGCTAGGCAGTGGTACCGGTGCGCGCGCGCTCCCGCCAGGCGAACGCAAGGCGTTCGCGCGGTCCCACTTCCTGATGAGTCCAGAGGAGTCCTGAGGGACCTTGAGGAACCTTCAGAAATCCAGAGTAACCCTGAGGTCGCCTGAGGAACCCTGAACGCCTTAGGAATCTTGACAACTCCGCAGGAGTCGGGGCGAATCGTGAAGAATCGATCCTCGGGGATCTTGAGGAAGGCTGAATAAATCAATCCTGAGGAATCCTCGGGAATCTGGAGGGTCCACAAGGAATCCCGGGGATTCTTCCCGAATCCCTAGGGTTCCTGAGGCCTCCAGAGGAATCCAGAGGAACCCTGAACAATCCAGAGGATCCCAGAGGAACCTTGAGAAACCCAGAGGCGTCCTGAGGAACCCTGAGGAGTCGGACGGAACTTTGAGTTTGAGGATTAAAAAAAGAAACAACCCGAGGGCTCCTGAGGAATCCTGAGGGGCACGAAGGAATTCGGTGGAATCTTGCGGAACCCTTAGGAATCCGAGGACATCCTGGGAAATCCGAAGGGATCCGGAGGAATCAGGATGAATCCTGGGGACTCTGGAAGGAGGGCTACGGGGAAGTAGGATGTTACATTCTTGACTATTCTTCAAAATCTCTTGGGATATCCCCAGGTTCACCCAATGATTCAAACGGGACATACATGCATCCGAACGGGCTCCTGCGGGGGCGAGATAAGGAGCGCCGGGGCTAGAGGGCTGTTCCGACCCCTACAAGAAGCCCCGCCCCGACCTGACGTTTAGGATTACGCTTCCTCTGAGCGCCCGCTACTGCAAGCTAGTGCAATACTGGATGTAGAAAAGCCCAGAGGTGACTTCGCGGCCTCTTGGGAGCCTCGTGTGGGCCTCTTGGGGGCCTCTTGGGGGCTCTTGGCGGCTTCTCGGGGGCTTCTTGGGGCCTCCTGGGCGCCTCCTGGGGCCGAGGGCTTGGAGCCCTCCTGGAGCCATCTTGGGGGCCTCTTGGGCCGTTTTGGGTCTTTCTTGGGCATCTTTTGGGCCCTCTTGGGGTACTCCTGGGCCGTCTTGGGGCGATCTTGGTGGCCGTCTTGGACTGTTTTGGAGCGTCGCGAAGCCGAAAAGGCGAGAACGCCACAATCCATCAAGAACCTGAGGACATCATTATTTGTTGTTGCTTCTGTGCTTCCTCTCAGGAGGCCTTTTGGAGGCCTCTTCGGGCGTCTGGGGGTCATCTTGGGCCGCCCGGGGGCCATCTTCGGCGTATTGGACCGATCGTGTACCGATTCGGGGCTCTCTTGGCCCTTCTTGGGGCCTTCTGGGGGCCGGGAAAGCCACGCGAGAAGACACCAGGGGCCCAAGGGGCCACGCGACGCGCTCCAGGGGCCACGCGACGCGCCTCAGAAGTTTGGATAATTTGAGGTGGAGCCCCTGGACAAATCCTGGGATTGAGGACTGGGATCCAACAAGGGGCCTGTGGACACTCCAACTCGTGCCTCAAGGTCGCGGTGGCGGGTCAGGAAAAGTGATGGAGGAGGGGGAGGAGGAGGAGGAGGAGGAGGAGGAGGAGGAGGAGAGGAGGAGGAGGAGGAGGAGGAGGTCCTGTGCCTTCGCCCGTTTGCCGCCGCGCCCGCGCCTCCTGTTCCTATCGTTCCTGGCTTCCTCCCTTCGCCGCCCTCGCTGGCTGCGAGGATGCGCGTTGGGACAGCCTCCCGGAGGAGGAGGAGGAGGAGGAGGAGGAGGAGGAGGAGAGGAGGAGGAGGAGGAGGAGGAGAGGAGGATGGAGAGGAGGAGGAGGAGGAGGAGGAGGAGGAGGAGAAGGAGGGATGAGGATCAGGAGACGGGGGGGGGTGACAGGCGCGCGATTAGATCATCTGGCCTCCAGGAGCAGGCTCTTCGCGCCCTGCCTGGCCTTCCCGTTCCACCAGGCCGGCGTGCCCGCGGCGTACCCCAGAGGCTGGTCAGGGGGGGGGAGCCCATCCTCCTCCTCCTCCTCCTCCTCCTCCTCCTCCTCCTCCTCCTTCTCTTCCTTCCTTCTCCTCCTCCTCCTCCTCTTCCTCCTCCCCCTCCTTCTCCCCCTCCTCCTCCTCCTCCTCATCCTCGGCGTGGGCGGCCGCTGCAGGCCCGACCTTGCTGAGGATTGCCCAGGCTATGGCCAGGGGGGGGGCGGTCCACCCTCTGCCTGGGCGGCCGCTGCAGGCCCGACCTTGCTGGGGATTGCCCAGGCTATTGGTCCTACGTGGAATGCCAGGCAGGTTTAAGTCGGGCCTGTCACTCTACAGGAGTAGTATTCGAGAATCGTAAAAATAGTGATTTCTGAATATTTTGGATCATTTTCTATTTTTCGTCCAAAATCCGCCTGTAGGAGGACATGCCCGACCTAAAGAGAGGTCCATTCTCCTTCTGCACGAGGCGTTCCAGAGAAGGCTTCGCCCTTCGGCGCGTCTCGCCCTCGGCGGAAGCCGGCCGGAGGGCCAGCGGGAGCCCCCGCGGAAGTGCACGGGCGGTGGGTGTGCCGGCGGAAGCCTGCGGGAGGCCGACGAAATGCGGCGGAAGAAGAGGTGACAGGCCGACATTTCTGGGTTCAGGTTTTCCAGAGTCTCCTCCCCTCTCCCCCTCCTCCTCCTCCTCCTTCTCCTCCTCCTCCTCCTCCTCCCTTTGCTTATTCACCCCTCTTCATCCCTCCTCTTGTTTCCTCTTCCCCCGTTCCCCACCTTTCCGCCGCCACCGCCTCGCCCTGGGTAGGGCCGTCCCCCCGAGACGACACGGGTTGGTTCTCCAGTCTACAGTCTCTTCCCCCCGTTCTTCCCCTTCTCCGTCCGCTGTCCTCCCTTAGCTCTCCTCCTCCTAGCCTTTTTTATCCTCTGAGGAGGGCGGCCAAGGACGCGGGGGAAGCGGAGGCAGGGAGGGCAGGGGGAACGGGATGACAGCTGGATGCTCTTACAACACATATTTCGGGCAGGCTGTTTAGCTTCCAACGGACCCGACCTGTATCCCGCCTCTTTCGCGAACTGTTGGTCTGTACGTTCTCGCCTCGCCCGAGATGTCTGCCAGGTGCAGAGGGCCACTTAGCCAGCTGCTAACTGCAGGTCCGAACGTGATCACTCCAGCCCGAGCATCCGCGCAACACGGGGCAGGCACAGGTGGCCACTTAGCCGGCGGTGCTCGATCCAATGTTGATTGCCGCTCCCCCCACCCCCGCAGCTAAAACGCCCTCTGGTGACTCTGTGTGTGGAGGTGTTCGAGCTTAAGAGGGTTTGCGTGTGGGTGTAGGGGCGGGTGCATGGGATGACAGTTCGAACGGTGAGAAGGACCAGGTGACATGGTGACGCGCTTGGAGGAGGAGGAGTCTCTGGAGTCTCTGCCTGATCGCGTAGCGATTGGAGTGAAGACGCGACCTTATGCTGGGTTGCCTTACACCTCTTGGCCCGTTCAGCTCTGCTGAGAGCCTTGGGCCAGAGGTTCGCCTGGATTCTACGAAGTCACTACCTTCCCGTGGCTGTGGGTTCAGCACTCGGGTCCCCGAGTTTACCGAGGAATTGATTGGCTATGGACCACAGCGGGAGCATAACCAATGACTCAGCCCAGCGTGGAACCTTAAACGATGAGTAATGCACGTTTCCCCCAGCAACGTGTGCCTGCATCTCCGGGGGGGCACTCCTATAATTGCTATCTAAATTCTGAAAGTCATTGCATGGAGTCTGGAGCCATTGTTTAGTCAAGGCCTTGGGAGGCCGAGTTCCTACATCTGGTGCACCTGGGCCCACTTAAGTGCACCGCGTGCTGTGAGCCGAAAACAGCACACACATTCTGGGGGCAGGCGGTCTGGCGGGAGCCGAGCCTATCGGTCGCTCTGGGCGCGGCTCTCCCTGACGCTGACACGCGACCCTATCATGTTTAAAGGCTTTTAAAGCTGTGCGCAGGAGCCTCATACGCACACGGAATGTTTTTTGCTGAATGAGTCCATGCCGCTGCCGATCAGCATTGGGCACTCTGGCGTTGCGGGCGGCTCCTCCTGCCAGCTCGTCGGCTACTGTGCTGCCGTATGCAAGACTGGCACTGCTGCTGCCATTGTTGATGTCCTGTGCGCTCATGTTCTAACGGATGGAGATGATCTCAATCTGGCCATGTATAGACAGTAGGTGAGAACGGAGGCGAGCCCTCAAGCCGGCGTCTGGTCCAGCAGGCTGCTGTGTAGTTCAGGTCCGTTCCTTCGCTGTCCGTGAAGTAGATGAGATCTCCTGTGGTTGCCTCTGCGGCCATGACCAGCCCCAGGGGCTCCCCTTGTATGACCGCCCGACGGCGTCCTGGGAGTGGACCCCAAAGGCCGCCTTTGAGCTCCATGCCGTTCCTGTCCAGGTCAGTGAACAGCGCGACCCCCGCTCCTGCCCTGTGTGGCGGTAGGCTAGCCATGCTGGCGCCCCCGTTGGCGTCGAGGAGGGCGTAGAGTTTGGTTGCCCATGCAACCGTGCGAAGCACCCAGGACGCTACAAGCTGATACCGACACATTCCCATCTTTCGTGCTCTGGAGGTGGTGGTTGGTGCGTCCATGCCCGCGGTAACAATCCCCGTGTCCAGAAACACTCGTGCATTGTGCTGCTGTGCAGCGGCCTCTGGGATGAGGCGGTTGGTGGCCTACACGATGACGTAGTCCCTAGTTCACGAGCGCTGCCAAGCTCGGTGGTAGTCGTTCTCGTCAGTTTCACAGCGCCGAGGGCACACTGCAGTAACAGCAGAAGCCTTAGTCTCGTTTGCGACCCGAGCACGTGTCCACATGTCCATTCGGCGAGCCGCGCTCCATGTCGCAATTTCTCGAGGTGCTTGAGTCGCCTCCTGTAAGTGTGGTTGTCGACGCCGTGCTGCATGACTTCGCCTCCACCGTGCTGGCCAGCTTGCAGCCAGTGTTGGTGTTGGGTGCTGGGGTCGATGTCGTAGAGGAGCTGGTCTGGGACGTTGGCCTCGGGAAACCCGTGAGCTGGTCGGCGTTGAACTCCCAGGTGCCGTCGGTGTTGGTAAGGCATGTTGGCAGTCGCCATTGGTTTGGCTCGACAGGGTCCCAGCCGTGCTGCATCAGGTGCAGGATGACGGCTGGCTGTGGGCGGCGGATTTGTCGCATTCGGAGTTGCGGCGGCATGCTCTCGAAATTCTTGCCGACCTTGTTCCAGGTGGCTTGGATGGTAACGCCGTAGGGGGCCGCCTTGTATCCACGTAGTTGGCCAAGCCTGGATCGCTCCACGTGGAAGCTTCCTAGCTGGGTCCCTCCGTGCGGCCCTGCGGTCAAGTGAGGTAGTAAGACACCGCCCACGCAGTCGTGGTCCAAGTGAGTCGTCCAGTCGCCTTCGGTAAAGTGTAGGCTGCGTTCCGAAGGCGCCGTGGAGTTGGTGTCCGTAGGTTGCTGCCGCAAGCCCACCCTGCATGGCGAGCCTCCCAGAACCTCGAGAGAGACCCCCCCCCGCACCCACCATTTTTCTAAATTAAATTGTGCGAATGCTTGTGGACTTAGTCGACACACCCGCGACGATTGCGAATCGCAGCGTTTTGGGTGTTACAACTACTTTTGTACACCCCTCTTGGTTTGTATAGAAAGTTTTTGCGTGTTGTAACAAGGCGTTTCTGCGTTTTTGAAGTTGCGCCGTTGCACGTGCGCGATGGCGCGATTCGATCAATGTCCCAGACAATTTCGTGCGCGGCAGTCTTTGATTCAATACGTGTGGGTGTTTATTCAACACGTTGTTGGTTGTATACTAATGTTGTTTCCCGGCCCTCGGCTGTTGCATTTTTCTCCAGTTGCCAGGGGCCTGTCTTGGGGCACAAGCAGCTGACGACGGTCGTCGGGCCACCTGGCTCCAGAGAGAAGCTTTGACTCTATGACATGTCTTGTGGCGCGTGTGGGGGTGGCTTGTGTCGCCGTCAGAAGCGTGGCATCTCCGAGTGGCCCGAGCGAGCCGCAGGGTCGTGGCGTGCATGAGGCCGTGGCGTTGGTGCTGTCGTGTGGTGGTCTTTCTAGCATGCCTGACACCGCAGCCCAAGTCGATGCCCAGGTATCTGGCCTATGACCGTTCCTGGATAGGGCAACCTCTCTTCTTCATGGCGGTGGCGGTGTACTTGGCATCGGCCGTGTTGCTGCACAGCATGACGCTCTTCGTGGCGATGCTGAGGCCTTGCTCCTTGAGCGCAGTGCAGGTGTCGGTGAGGCAAGCGACCATGGAGCGCTGTAGTGCACGATGAGTGGCCTGCATGCGCTGTGGTAAGTCGTCCATCCACATACGGTGGTGGATGTGCCCATAGAAGGGGCGATACGCTTGAGGGCCTTGCAATTAATAGTCTTGGCCAAACGGATGCCTGAGCGCAGGCCCTGCACCACTGACCTGGCTGACAGTAGTGCCTCGGCGTCGGCTCCACTTTCTGTGAGCGCCCGCGGGGCTTTGCACTGTAAGATCCCGAGCCCCAAGACCTCTAGCGGGAAATTGAGGTCGAGCGCCTCGTAGGCGAGGTTGGTCCAATCGATGTAGTCTTAGAACTGTGAAGTGTCGAGGATCCCGTGGTATTGCGGTACCGTGAGGTGCGCTGCAATCTCTTCGTGTAGTGCGCGCTCGTACGCCTCGCGGAAGGCTGAGTTGCCCTTGGTTATGGCATCCTAGTGCGCGAAGCAGTCCTTGTTTCATTATTGTAATTGACCTTCTCTGAACATAGACCATATTCGGGCGATCTCGGGCATAAGGCCGAGGATGCGATCGCCGTTGTCCTTATTTGCCCGCGTAAGCCCCATGGTTAGCAGGAGTTGGCGTGGCCACGTCTGCGTCTGCTCAGCCGTGGTCAGGATCATGGTGCGCTCCTCCAGAGCGGGCTCTGGGAGAGTAAGTGGGTCTGTGGGGCGAAGTCGATCCGCCCCCATGTCGGTGCCGCGGCCCGCTGTCGGCGCAGGGCACGACGCATGTCCTCCGCGGTGGGCGGGGGCAGGCAGCGCTCCTGGATGCGCTCTCGGATGCGCTGGAAGACGTTGGCGAGGCGGGCCAGGTTCGAGGCCGTCGGGGCCCAGAGTGCTGTCCAGCTGCCAGCCTCCTTGCCGATAAGGTCTCGTGTATGGACGATGGTGCGGTAGCCGTCTTGAACCGACTCGGCTGGGAGTGGTTCAGGCAGAAGCGAGCGATGGAGTGCCCCGATGACCCCTTCGTCGACAGCCTGGTCGCGAAAGTCACGGATGGACTTGTTGATGGCCCGTTGCCAGGCTCGCTTAGCGAGTGCGCCTGCGCGCGATGCGAAGGTGGCGGCGTTCTCCACAGTGGCGGTGGTGACGTGATGCAGGTGCGTGATCCACTGCTCTCAGCTGGTGACGTCCTGTTTGCTGATGATGTTGGGTGCAGCCGGTGGTGGCGAAGCGGTGATCTTGTGTATGCTGGCGTGCAGTTGGGCTAGCTGAAGCTGGCCGTTCCCTCTGGCTTCTGGCTCGACGTCGGTATACGTTCTGAGTGCAGTCTGGTCCACCAGGCACTGCTGTATTCCGCCAGTGGAACACTGCGATTGCTTTGTAACTCTCGTGCGACGGAAGTCTGATCATCCGTGCTTTCGGCACGCGTGGCACCCGTGAAAGGATTCTGACGGCGCGCGTGTACGGTGGCTTCAACAGTTGCGGTCCAGGAACTGTTGAGTTGCCCACGCTGAAGGCATTGTTAGGCTTGGGCCAACATGCTACGGAGCTTTCAGCAGCGGAGTGGAGGGACAGGACACCACTTTTGTTTACGTTGGGTCGTCCGGAGCTCGCTTGAATTGAAATTTCAAAGATGGGCTGGCTGCGTGCTTCAGGGGCAGGTTCAAACTGGGCGTGCTCCTTCCCCTGGGGATTAGCAGACTCGCTGGGGGTTCGCGCGCTGGGTTGTCGAATTGCCTACCTGTTCAGATTGCTTGTCTAATTCGGTTGACTGTTCGATTTATCTATTGGCACGGGCTGACTGCTAGAATCAGCTTACTGTCCGACTGTACCAGATCGTGCGGGCTGGTTACCTACTAGATCAGCAGATTGTCCGACTGTATCAGATTGGCCAGAGGTGGAGGCAACAGGGGCCGAAGTAGGAGAAAAGCCTGGGCTCGCTGTTTCACCGCTGGCGTGGCCACGCGCGCTGGCAGGCTGGCGTGCACGCGCGAAACAAGACTCGTGAGCCCAAGGGTCTTCGTCCTCGGAGTCCCCGGCACATGGCTCATGATCGGGCTGTTCGCCTGGGCTGGTGCCTGTGCGTCGGCGTCGTCTACGCCGTCGCCAGCCTCGAGAGCTCCGCAGAATGAAACGAACCGGTGCTCTGAATTATTCGGCTGCTCTCTCGAGCATCGCGGCCGGCTGGACCCTGGCACGACTGGCTCTGGACCCCGGGGGTCGGGGTCTGCGCGGGCCGAGCGACGCCTGTGCAGCCGCCTCGGGCGCTGGAGCGCACGGGTGATGAGTTGCTCGGCGGATTGCACCAACCGAACTCTTGATCCCAGACGCGGTTGCTTCGGGGCATCGTGGACAGGCGGGGCATCGACCGGGTAAGGGCGGGCAGCGGCGCTGTGCGCGACGGAGTCCACATGCGATGGCTGACGTCCGCCTCCTGGATCACAGGTGCACTACATGGGCGCACAAAACTTCGCCCTGGGCTTGGGCGGGAAATCTTGAGGCCTGGAGTACGCTGAGCGAGACGTTCCAGTCCCCGACAACGGCCCAGGGGAGCTGCAGGGACTTCGGGGGCTGCCGAGCCTCCTGAGACGAATGAGGTTGGGCCCGCCGAGGCCTATGCAACAGAAGGCGTAAAATAATGAAAACTATAGAGTCGCCGCGCTGCTGGATAACCATAGGTGGAAACCCGTCGAGGCTGGAACTGCTTGGCTGAGCTTGGAGCCCTTTGGCTTGGACCCCTTTTCTCAGGAATCACTCTGCCCTCCAGCTCGTGCACGCTGTGATGGTCGAGCGGCGTTGGCTGTGAGCTTGCGAATGTGGCTCCCGGGACGGCTGCGCCAGCGAATGATGTCGGCTGACCCGATGTGCGTCTCGATGGGCCCGATGTAGTCGTCACTGCTGATGGTGACCCATCCGAAGGCCTTGTCCCCCGTGCGGGTGATGTTGCTGTAGGACAACGTAGTAGAGGCCGTGGAAGTAGGGAAACTGGGGACCGCCGCCTCGGCGATCGTGCCACCTTCGCCCGTGGCAGTGGGCGCGTCTGCGGATGGTCGACGCGAGACAGGCCGCGCGGCCGCCTCGCCGCCGCCCCTGGCTGGCGGTGAGGGGCGCCCTGGGCCCGTCTGGCCGCTGCCGGTGTCTTCCGCGGCGTGCTGGGCGCTGCGAACTCGGCGGCAGAGAGGCGGTTGGCCTCGGCCTGCAGCGCCGCCGCCTCGTCCTGCGCGGGTGCTGCGGCCGCCGGGCCGCCCGCGCCAGCCGCGGCCTGGGCGGCGGCGGGGCCGTCGGCCGCGCCGCTGGCGCCGCCTGGCCTGGCTGCGGGCACCCGTTGGCGGCGCAGCCTGGCAGTCCTCGCCCTTCCTCTTCTTTCGGTGGCGGGCCTCCTGAGCGGCGCGCACCTTGCGGGCCCTCTCGATGAGGGTGTGCACCTGCGTCCCCTTAAAATCGAGCTTCTGCTTGAGCTCCTCCAAGTCCTTGCGCACCGCGTCGAGCTTGGCTTGCTCCCCATCGGCGAAGTCGAGGTCCTCGATCTGGCTGAAGAGCCCGGGGTCCCAAGTGACGGTGAATGGAGTGGAGGGTGTCGCCTCCGCTGCCTTTGCAGGGGTGGCAGGCGCGCCTACCCCTTCGGCCCTGGCGAGGGTCTTGGCTACCTCGAGCGCCGCGAGCCTCTTCTTCTCCTCAGCCACCTCCAGGGCCTTGCGGAGACGGAGCACGTTGCTGACCATCTGGTTGTGGTGGTTCACCGCGGCACGCCAGGAGCTGTCCGCCGTGCGCCTGGCCTTGACCTCGGTGGTGCGCGCCTCCTCCGTGCTGGTGACGGCGAGCCGCTGGACCTTGGCAGTGAGGAGGATGGCCTGCACGTTGGGGTCCTTGGCCACGGCGAGGGCCTGCCTCAGGTGCTCCGAGGGCGGGTCAGAAGGCGAGGTGCCAGAACTCGCAGGCAGCGGCGGGCGCCCTTCGCCATCGCGGTCGTCGATGATCTCCTCCCGACCGAAAGTTACGCTCGGAGAACGTGACCGCGCGCGGTGCAGCCTCATCGGCCTGCTGCACCTCGGGCAGACGGGGCGGTAGGGGTCTAGCGTCTAGCAGGTCATTGTGCTCGCATGCGTGGCAGCCTCGGCACCTGCTCCACAGCCCGGTGGCGGGCTGCCGCTGCACGCTGGGCTGGCGCTGGCGCTGCCCTCGTCGTCCCGTGAGCCCCAGCTCCAGTGGTGAGTCGTCCGTAGAGCCTGCAACGCCGGGCAGGTTCACGGAAGTTCCACAAGCACTTCGTGAAGGCATCGGGGCAGCTATGGTGTGCCAGAATGGGCCAGAACGGGCATGACTTGAGTTTGGAGGAGGAGGAGAAGGAGGAGCAGGAGGAGGAGGAGAAGGAGAAGGAGGAGGAGGCAGAGGAGGTACAGGAGGAGCAGGAGGAGGAGGAGGAGAGGACGGATGGGGGGTTACGGGGCAATGACGATGGGAGGGGGGCAATGAGGTCTAGGGGGCGGAGTTCAGGAGGGAAGAAGGGGGACGGGAACGGGAGGTGAGAGGGAGACCGGGGAGTGAGTGGGTGATCTGAGCAGGCTGTTAGGGGACTGATATCGCTTCGCTCCTACCTTCGCCAGAGTGTCGGCGTTGATGCGAAGGAGTGGGAGGCCGCCTTTTCTGGAGGTTGATCGTGTTTCTGGCCGCGTGGAAGAGGTGCGGGCACATTCGCGGTCGCCTGCACCCTGTTTTTTTGGGGGTGGGGTGGGGAAAGACGCACCACAACATCGGAAATCCCAACCGCCCTCCTTCCTCTGTCCTCTCCGTGTTGCGCGTTGACTCAGGATGACCTGCGCCGCGCATGTTATGACCACCCATGGTGAGCTCAGCGAACGCCGAGGCGTGTACGTGTCCGTGCGCTGTTGCAAAAGCCAAGCCTCGTTCATGGCGCGCCCCGTGGTGCTCGGTCCTCCCAGATGGCAGCACGTTGGCGTGTGGGAGCGCGCTTGGGATCGGACAAACAAGACGTGCGCAGTTGTCAGTTCGTCGTTCTCGCCGAGGCGCTTTCCTTATTTCTCAACGTAATCCAAAGGCGCTGATCACATTTGCGTGTCTGCATGGGTGCCTGGCTTCGCACGTAGCGCTCGTGGGTGGGGGTAGGCCGCTCTCGCCTGGGCGCTACAGTATGTGCGGTGTGTTTGTTTATCTTCCCTCCCCAGTTTAATGCAGCTGTTTTCGCATTCAGCTGTCCGCGGCAAGCCGCCCCGTCAGCGTGCCACCGCAGTTCGGACACGCACGCAGGATTTTCGATCGATCCAACCAGTCTCGGGATGGTTCCCCCGAGCTCTGCCGCACTCAGGTTACTTTTTGCTTCTCCTTTGGGGCAGGGGTGGGCCCATGGGAGAGGGGAGCAAGCGAGCGCGCACGCCTCACACACCCTTGAGGGCATTGCGCTTGCGCGGTGCAAGATCATACCGCCTCCGCGGGCTGAACCATGCTCGTGCTTGCAATCGGTGCTGGCAAGGGAGGGGACTTGCTGTGCGCGGACGCTGCGCTTTCCACCGACGGCCGTTCTGACAGGCAGCTTTTCTACAGCAGGTGTGCCCTGCGCTGTCCCTTTTGTATGTGATCGCTTCCTCCTCCTATCAACGTGAGTGTTGCCATTTGTTCTGCTTTACCCACCCTCTGGCCCTCCTCCTTCGTGATCGCACAGTTCGTGAGCCTGAGCCGCACACGGCATGGACCGTTGTATGGGTTCCATGTTTCGCCGCCCGAGATCGCATGGACGCAAGTCGCAAGTTGGGTCCCCCAGAGGGTCTGGATGTGCTCGGCGAAATGGTCACAGCAGCTTGCAGGCTTTGTTAGCGCGAGAAGAGAGAACACCAACAATAACAAGAGACAGAGAGAGAGAGAGAAAGAGCGAGACAGGGAGAACGAGAGAGAGAGGGCGAGAGAGAGAAGACGAGAGAGAAAGAGAGAGAGAGAGAGAGATAGAGAAAGAGTGCGTTGTGCTGCCGTGGCGCGAGTTGCCAAATAACACGTGTGGACCCGATGTGCTCATTCATAGGTTGGGTAATACCTTCCAAGGGCCTCGACAACTCAACTCACGTATGCCATCGTGTGTGATTTATGCATGTGCACACATTACATCACATACATATATATATACACATGCAAAGGGTGTCTGTATGCATCGATACATATGCACATTTCGAGTCCACTGTTGTGTATGTACGACCGTCAGCTTGCGAGGGTATCCATCGGAATGGAGCGAGAGCGCCCTCCTTTTTCACAGCACTCATCAGAGGTGCCAGTGGACATGCTTTTTCGATCAAACTGTCTTTCTGTCCCGCTCTGTATGACCGTCCATAAATCTCGTCATGGGGTCATCGGAGCATGTTGTGGATATCCTGCGGGCGCGGAATAGCAGAGTTGGTTGCAAGCCTTGCATCTTGTCCAGGTGGATGTCGTGGTCAACAGTGCTGGTGTATTCACTCTCTCTTGTGATGGGGTGCTCGAAGGTCTCTCAGTTAACGGCTCGGTCAATCAGACCATCATCGAGAACCGCACGCACATCCACAGCCGTCTCCCAGCCGAGCAGTCTCTCTGGCCCTCCTCGGTCGACCCATTAAGGCGAGACCCACATTTTGGAAACGGCCCGCCCTCCATCCGTGAGGGAGGAGGAGGACGTCAAGCTGGAGGAGGAGGATGAGGATGACGGAAGATGAGGAGGAGGAGGAGGAGGAGGAAGGAAGAGGGGGGTGGAGGAGGAGGGGCCGACCTCGCCCGCATCTGTCACGGCCTCGTTCTGCTCCCTGCTGGTCCTGGTTGCCCCTGTGTGTGCCGTGGCTCTCGCCGGCGGGCAGGCGGGCACGCGGATGCCGCCGCCTCCGCCGGGCCCGCCCCCGCGGCCGCGCTGCTGCCAGCATTTCGGGGGCAAAGATAGGGGGGATAGGCATACAGGGATTCATCGACCCCCAATCGCCGATAGATCGCCGAAGGGACCCGATAGCCCAAACCTGCCCAGGAAGGTTCGGGTTCACGATCGGAGGCCTATCGCCGATCTATCGGCGATGTATCGCCGATTCCAGGTCGATGCATCCCCCTCTATGCCTATCTCCCCCCTATCGTTGCCCCTCAGCATTGCAGATGCGCCCAGACGGGTGGCGCCAACCGACGGGGGCGGGGTTGTGTCCGCGGCGGCGTCTCCGGGTCAATCTCGAGGGGGAGGCATTCTCGCGCGAGCGCTTGGTGATTGAGGTTCGCCAAGGCGGAGGGTCGGCATGGATTCTCGGCGCGCGCGGCGCCGCCCGCGCGCCCCCGCCTAAGCCTTCTCGCTCGCCCCGCCGCCAGTCCACTCGCCCGCCCGGGCTGCTGCCCGCCAGCCCGACGCGGCGGCGACGACGCACATGGGCGCGTGCGCATTGCGCGCGTCGCCGCAGCCCGTGGGCCGCCGCCGCCGCCCGGTCGCTCGCCCCCCGCCCGCCCGCCCGCCCGCCGGGCCCCTCCAGGTGGGAGAAGCGCGCTGCGAGCCTGCCGAACTTCCGCTTCCGCGGGGGCCGCGGGCGCAACGAGGCCGCGCCCGATGTGCCGCCGCCGGCGAAGAGGGCCATCGAGGCGCCGCCGCCGGGAAAGACCAAGCTATCCGGGGGTGCGCGGAGCCGCGGGTAAAGCCGGCGCAGCGGCGATAAAAGGGGCCGCCACGCCCGCGGTATGGAAGGAGGGGGGCTTTGGAGGAGGGGCGTGAGGAGGAGGAGGAGGAGGAGGAGGAGAAGGACGAGGAGGAGGACGAGGAGGAGGAGGAGGAGGCGGAGGAGGAGGAGGAGGAGGAGGAGGAGGAAGAGGAAGAAGAGGAGGAGCAAGAGGAGGAGAAGAGAAGGGTGCGTTCAGGACGATCCCTGAAGCCACCAGTTTCAGCCTTCGGAGGAGGAGGAGGATGAGGATGATGATGATGATGATGATGATGATGATGATGATGATGATGATGATGATGATGATGAGGAGGAGGAGGAGGAGGAGGAGGAGGAGGAGGAGGAGCAGGAGGACCAGTGTAAACCCAAGACTCAGCAATGATGTTGGCATGAACCCTCCCTTCAAGCTTCCTCCTCATAGGCACCTACAAGGGTTCATTTTCACTGAGGGACCTGATTCGTCGGGAGACAATCGTTTGAAGACCCTGAAGCGTGCCATAATGCCGTTCTCGGGACCCCAGCGGTATGAATCAACCTGACTGTTGCGTCTTGACGGCACGAAATCGTGCCAGAACACCATTCCTGGGATTTCCACTCCGCGAATCGACGTAAGTGTCGCGCCCTCGCAATCTTGTGTCCCTCCAAAATACCATTCTTGGCACGTTGACCATGGGACCCCGTGAAACTTTGCAAACTTTTAAGACGAGTGTGCGCGGCGCTAAGCCAGAGCCACCTTGTCAAAAGGAACCGCCATCAATCCGTGAAGCTCTTGAGAAGGTTTAAATCGAATGTGCGCGGAGCTAAGGCTACAGCTACATGTTGAAAAGCAACCGCCCTCAAGCTGTGGGGTTTGTGCATTTTTAAGAATGAGGCGCTAAGGCGAGAGCCACATTTTGAAAACCACCCGCCCTCGGTCCGTGAAGCTTTCGCACATGTTTATCGCGACTGTGCGCGGTGCTAAGGCGAGAGCCACATGTCGAAAACGGCATGCCCTCAATCCGGGTCCGGGAAGCTCTTGCAAGTTTTTTTGTTTGATGAGCGTGGCGCTAAGGTGGTAATCACATTTTGAAAACGACCCGCTCTCAATCAGTGAAGCTCTTGCGTTAACACGAGTGTGCGCGGCGCGAAGGCGACAACCACATTTTGAAAACAAAACGCCCTCCATTGGTGAAGTTGTTGCTATTTTGTTAGGTTCAGGGTCATGCGTGGTGAGGAAGTCTCAAGCGAAACGCCTGGCCCGCCCTTGGGACGGACCCTGTGGTGCGATAGGGAGGAGTGTTTGTACAAGGAAGAGGAATGGAGGGGCAGGAGGAGGAGGAGGAGGAGGAGGAGGAGGAGGAAGAAGCAGGAGGAGGATGAGAAGGGCCGGCGAGCGGCGAAACAAGGGGCCATCCCGTCCGCGGCATGGAGGGAGGAGGGGTTCACTTCCTCATCGTCTTCCTCCTTCTCCTTCTCCTCTGTCGTCTTGTCCTGATCCTGAAGCCCTTCCTGCTCATCACGTTTCTCCTCCGCCAGCTGCTGCTGCGCCTCTTCCCTTCTCCTCCTCCTCCTCCTCCTCCTCCTCCTCCCCGTGGTCTTGGGATCCCGGAGCAGGAGGAGCAGGAGGAACAGGAGGAAAAGGAAGAGGAGGACCAGCGTAAGCCTAAGACTTAGCAGCGGGGTTGCAATACTCTCCTCTCGAATTTTTATCTTGTGGGCTCCTGTATGGATTGACTTCCACTGCGGCAAGAAATCCATTGGAAGAGAACCGTTTGAAAATCTTCAGCCGCGCCAAAACACCATTCCTGGTACTTCAGTGCCGCGAATCAGCGTCACTGCTGCGACTTGACAATCCTTACTCGTGCTAGAAGACCGTTTCTGGGACGTCAACACCGCGAATCAACGTGCTTGTCGCGCCATGACAATCCCAACTCGTGCCAAAACACCGTCATGGGGGACGTCAACAATAAGAATCTTCGAAACTAAGCTGTTAAGGCGAATGTGCACGGTGCTAAGGCGAGAACGATATTTAAAAACAGAAGCCGTGCTCTATCTGTGAATGACTGCGCGCGGCGCTGAGGCGAGAGCCACATTTTGGAAATGACCCGCCCTCAGTCCGTGAAGCTCTGGCACATGGTTAAGACGAGTGTGCGTGGCGCTAAGGCGGGAGCCACATTTTGAAAACCCTTGGCCTCCATTGGTGAAATTGTTTCCATTTTGTAAGCTTCAGGGCCATGAGTGGTGAGGAAGTCTCAGGCGAAACGCCCGGCCCGCTCTACCGACCCGCCTCGGGGTGCGACATGGAGGGTTTTTTTAATAAGGAAGAGGAATGGAGGAGGATGAGGAGGAGGAGGGGGAGGTGGACGATGAGGAGGAGCAGGACGACGACAGCGACGGCGATGCCAGAGACGACCCCGACGACGACCGACGACAAGGACGGCGACGCTGACGGGCGACGCCGTCGCTGCCCAGGAGGGGGGGGGCCAGCGTGTTTTTGAAGAGGTTTTTGGGCTCCTGGTGCCATTTCTCTTGGCCCTGGAGCCTTCAAGAGCGAGTCGGGACAGAAAGGTCAGCCCTGGGGAAGCTGCGGGATCCAGGACCCGTTTCTGCCAGCGACTTCGTTTCCTTTCATACCAAGCGCCTCGCGCGACACAGCCCCCCACTTCCCACGGGGCTGCGAGAAGGGAATCGTCCCCTTCCCTCTCCCACTCCCCGAGTATGTTTTACACTTGCTTTCTCCCTCTTCGCTCCCCTTCTCTCGCTCTCCTCCTCCCTCCCCCCCTCGCTCTCCAACTCTCTCTCTCTCTCTTTCTCTCTCGGTCTCACTTTCGATCTCTCTTTGTCCCTCCCGCCCTTTTCTTCCGCTTCCCCCCCCCTCTCTCGTTCTCCCCTCCCCCTTTCCAGCTCCACTTCTTTCACCGTCTTTTGCCTCCCACCTCTGCTCCATGCAGCGGCGGTCGGACCGCGCGCGGGGCTGGGGGCGTCGGCGGGAGCGATGATCTTCCACCATCGTTTGTGCCTCGCTGGCTTTAGGGGGGACGGAAAGTGTCGACGGTTCGGAAGGAGGAGCAGGAGGAGGAGAAGGAGGAGGAGGAGGCGGAGGATGAGGATGAGGAGGAGGAGGAGGAGGAGGAGGAGGAGGAGGAGGAGGAGTAGGAGGAGTAGCAGGAGAGGAGGAGTATGATGCTGCTGCTGATGATGATGAGGATGATGATGAGGATGATGATGATGATGATGGTGATGGTGATGATGCTGCTGATGATGCTGATGCTGATTTTGATGATGATGCTGATGCTGATGCTGATGTTGATGCTGCTGCTGATGATGATGATGCTGATGATGCTGCTGCTGATGATTGTGATGGTGATGCTGATGATGCTGATGATGAGGAGGAGGAGGAGAAGGAGGAGGAGGAGGACGAGGAGGAGGAGGAAGAGGATGATGAGGAGGAGGAGGGGGAGGAGAAGGATGAGGAGAAGAAGGATGATGAGCACCCCATAAGAGTCATGAGGGTCATGTAGAAGACGCTGCGAGCTCCGCTCAAAGCCCGCCGAAAACAAGAAGGAGGAGGAGCAGGAGCAGGAGCAGAAGCAGGAGCGCAACCAAAGCGAGATCAACGACGTCGTCGTCGTCGTCGTCGTCGTCGTCGCTCCCGTCGTCGTCGTTGTCGTCGTCGTCGTCGTCGTCGTCCTCATCCTCGTCCTCGTCGTCCTCATTCTCGTCGTCGTCCTCGTCCTCGTCCTCGTCCTCGTCCTCGCCGTCGTCGTCGTCGTCGTCGTCGTCGTCCTCGTTCTCGTCGTCCTCGTTCTCGTCCTCGTCCTCGTCCTCGTCCTCGTCCTCGTCGTCGTCGTCGTCGTCGTCGTCGTCCTCGTCCTCGTCGTCATCCTCCACCTCGTCCTCGCCGTCGTCGTCGTCGTCGTCGCCGCCGTCGTCGTCGTCTTCGTCGTCGTCGTCGTCATCGTCGTCATCCTCGTCACCGTCGTCGTCGTCATCGCCATCGGGGGGGGGCGCCGCGTCCGTTAGGGCACTTTGCCCGCCGCGCGGCCCCCTCGGCTCGCCAGCTTCGCAGTTTTGCCGGCCGCCGTGCCCGCGCCGCCCGTGCCGCAGGGCCGCGACGCGACGAGCAACACGACGACGGCGTCGACGTCGACGTCGACGACGACGACAACGTTCGGCTTGATCAGGCAGAGGGGCTCGGGATGAGGTTGAGAGTCCGGTGCAGTTACAGGACTTTTGTTTGGGGATCGGTCCTCATGCTCCTGCTCCTCCTCCTCCTCCTCCTACTAGGTCGCTGCTTGAGATCAAGTGCGTAGGCCGACCGTACCCCTTGCACAACTTCACTCAACAGCTACCTTCGCGCCCTACCCGTCAGACCCTGGGGGCGCTGGGGGCTGGGGGGCCTTTCATGGGATTCGTCACATCGGAACATGCGCATATGCTACTACAGTCCCATGCAGGCGGGCAGCCAAGAGCGATTGGAAGACATCAGCGCAGAGCTCAGCAGCTGGGACGTGGTACTACTATGTGGTACGTCTCGCTGGGCAGGAGCGGAACCCACTACGCAAATAGGCTACACAATCAACGTATTGCATTCTGGGACAAAATGAGTAAGTGGACCAACGATCGTTGCGGACTAGCGATACTACTACACCATCGTCTTGGGATTGCAATGGTCAGGCAGATAATTCCACCCCCTGCAACATTACAAGGGGGAGTATCGGGTATACTATCAGCCAGCAAGCAGATTTACTACGCTCTGTTCGTGTGCTATTACGTCCCCACGCATTTAAAGTATCATGCGGTGTTGGCGGATGCGATCAGTCACTGGCTAGAGCAATCCCTTGACAAACGAGGACGCCGTACGACGACTATTGTAGGAAGGGTGCATCAACAGCGACTTTGGCCTCCATAGGGACTTCGACGGGAGTTTACAAAGAAGCCCTGGGCCAACTATAGGCACAAGGAGCCCCAAGCACGATAACTCCAACGGTACTAGCTTCAGAGGACTCTGTAATGGCAGCGACTTGAGCATTGTATCCACGTGCTACGAAACAGGCCCAACCTACTACGGTAACTCTGGACACTCGAGTACAGTAGACCATATAGCACTACCGACAGGTCTATTAGGGCATGTACACCACTGTGGCCCTTCGAGACCACGTCCCACTGGGCATGATTATATCGACGCTGGCGCGTCCCGCCCCTCCCCCGCCAACTCATCTACAACAGCGGATTTGCAGAGACTGCTTGATGCAGTGCGTGCGCAGGGGGTACAGGGGAACCGAGCTCCTCCAGAACATAGGCAAAGAGGCCGCGCGAGAGGCTTACGACGTATGGGGAGAAGCGTTTTCCCAGAGGATCCCAGCTCATACTTGGGCGCTACAAGGCAGAGCTTGCATAGACAGATTGACAAAAACATTCGGCAGCAAGCAGCACGGCGGCGAGCTAAACGATCTACAGCAGCAAACGAAATCATACAAACTGCAACGATTGCGCAGACGACGAGGTATACGGCAGCGATTGGAGGACGGCTGTGACGAAGCAGCATGCGAGAGTGTGCAATACGAACTACGACCGGTTACTGCAACGCTGAAGAGCGCACGCGAAGTCACGCAACAACAGAGGCGAGCGAATCTAGTTTAGCCCATATGAGAGGCGCACCATCAATCCAGCTTTGCGGAACATGCACAGGCGACGGGCACATTGCCAACGAAATGGGCGCGGGCCCAAGCAACGAAACTACCTCACGCCCAAGACTTATTGATTGGCCACCCGATTACTGGGCGCAGGAATTCGGGCGGGAACCTTCGGAGGGGGGGGGGGGGGGCTCAGTGCAGTGCCGATCTATCGCTGCGGCGCGTGCCAGGAACACAAAGAACACGTGGAGAACAACGTGGTCCCACTGCCGAACAGCCACAAACTACAAGCAGCAGTGTCTAGGTGCAAACAACACATAGCACGGTGCTGCAGGCGAGCGTGCAAACGGCGGGCCTGGCCACAATGGGGGCTACTTGAAGAACTTACTTGGCTCCTTCTCGACCCCCCCCTCTCCACCTCGCCGACCGTGCGCTGCAGAGCGAACGACTGGAGCTGAAGAGGATTGCGGAGGCGGGGGCCAAGGAAGACCACGAGGACCTGGCCCGTTTCACTATGCAGGGGAAGTTCAAGCGAGGCAGGCAACCACTCCAGAAAATGGGGTGGGGCGCAGGACCAGCCCCCAGCAGTGGGGAAGAAGGGGAACAACGCGCCAGACTGGAGGAGATATGGGCAGCGCGATCATACGACGTGGGACGAGGGCAATGCGCAGGGCTCGGAGCGAGATTGCGCGAGATCCGCATATTTGTGGAACAATGTCGAATTATGCAGACGGTGCCACTCGACTGGCACCGATCTCAGGCATTCCCAGCAGACCAAAGTTATCAACGAGGGAGGTGTCCTCGGGGAGCGCACCCTCCACGTCTACGGCTCGTTCAGAATAGCTTGACACTCGGGCGTCGCCAGGCGCGGCGCCAAGAGCGACCACCCACCATGGGTCTAAGGGAGACTGCGGCACCGACGCAGAGAAAATGCAATGCTATGCGTATGTGCCGCACAATGTAGACCTCAACAAGCGGGTGTTAGTACTGTCGCTACCAACTAAGACGGTGCCGACGCCTTTGCAGCGACGAAGCGGGCCCTCCTACGAGCAGCGGCTTACGTGCGCGCGCGCGAAGACGATCGGCGGCGCGCGCTGGCGGCCATCAACCACTCCGCGCTTGCGCTTGAAGCATCCGACGGTGTCATTGAAGCGGAGAGCGCCAGCGGAGCACAGATGGGGCTTGCACTCTGTCCGCGTCAATATAACGGCGCATGCGACACATGCGCGGGCAAGTGGTGGCAGGAAGAGCGACGGGGCCTAAGCCAACGACTTCGCGACGCGGTTAACCCCATCAGGGGGGCCCGCGACCTGCCGCTCAATGCGTTCATGGACGACGTCACTCGCGTGCGCAACTTCTCCGCGCGCCGCGGGGCGCAGGAGATCGAGTACTCGTTGAGCGCAAATGCGCAGTGGCTTGCAGGCGCGTTGTCAGCTGGGGGTCGGGGACTGAACCATGGAAATACTAACCGCCTAGTGCAACTGGCTGGCCCGGGCAGCTGCGCTGCTACGCGTGCGTTGCGACGCGGCAAAACGTTGGTGGGCGCGGCGCCGCGGGGAATGAGGGCACTGGGGCCTCGCCCGCCCTCGGGGCAAGGCTGCGCCGGAGAAATCGCGCGACGCATTGCCGCTTCTTGGCTTTCGTGGAGACACTGTGGAAAATCTTGGACATCAGACGCGCCGCGACATATTAAGAGAGCGATGTTCATGACCTGCGTGCCAGGGGCGGCATTGGGCGGACCTGCGCCGCTCCCACTCAGAAAAGCCAACGCCGACGCACTAGGCAGCGCACTGGCAAAGTGCTTGCGTACAATGGCAGGAGGGGCGATGTATGGACGCGAGCTGACGGAACAATTCGGTGCAACAGCAATGCGCAGGTTTTCCACTACTGGCGACTGGAGACAACGGCGACAGCACTACGAGTCGGGAGACTACGATGGTACCAGAAGTGGGCTCGGTCTCCAAGGGAGCGCGGGGCGGTCGTGGCGGCAGTCTCTGGGACGTCGAAGTTGGATGCGTGCAAACTCCAACTCAGGCTACGAGGCGGAAATTGGGCATGCGACGACTCTACACCATGGGCACTTCAATATTTAGAAGACCTTAGACAACTAGCACAAGTAGACGAAAGTATGGAATGGTTTGCAACGCGTACATCATATATCTCCTTACTACAGCCTTGGACCCCAGAGCACTCCAGCTGGCTCATTACAGACCCCAAAGTCCTCTACAGCCATGACAGGAACTGGGACGTCTTCACAAAACAGATGGAAGGGGAAACTACAGGAATATACGATCAAATCATTACACGTGCAGACAGCGGAACATACATGTGGTCAGCGTTTTCCTGCCTACACAGCGTTGGCAGGGCGCCGGCGAGAGGTGCACAATGTGCAGCTCATTGTTGCTTCAGTAGTCGTTGCCAACCAGTGCCCTTGGTGCTGCAGTACTTTTGTCAACCGTATGACGGCGGTGGATCGTGCTACAGGGGCAGTGCAATACCGGGGGATTTACCACCCAGACAGGTCCAAATGGTCGCGCGACGTACTTCCTCCTACTGCACTTTCTTGCTCTATCTGTGGCCGTGAGGCTCAAACCTTTTCAGAATTCCAGTAGCGCGTGCGCGCCCGCCTTGCAGGCCCCGACTAGATTCGAGCTCCCAATGGCCAGGCGGCCCATGCTACGCGGGGCGATGGTTTTGAGAATAAGGCGAGAAGGAGAGCCCGTCCCAGAAGGACAGTCGCGAGGAGCGAAGACGCCCGCAGGAATAGGCAAGGGCAGCCAGGGGTCGTCCCACGGTGGGGCACGAGGCGGAGGACGAGGTCAACAAGCAGGATCAGACAGAGATGAGATGAAGGCGCTGCAGAAGCTCATTTTGCAGAACAGCGCCGCCATCCGAGAGCTGGCCAACGAAGTGGGCGACTTCTGGCTCCTGAACATGTGCAACATCGCCGTGCAGCTCGCGCTGGAGACTGGCAAGGAGTACGGTCGCAAGGTCAAGGAGCTCGGGAAAAGGCGCGAGCTCGGCCCGCCCCGCGGACGCGCGGCGGCCAGTCTAGTGGAAGGACAGGTTACGCAACTACAACAGGAGGAAGCACTCCCAGATGCACTCGTTCCAGTACTACAGGTACTCCAGGAGTGCAGCGCAGCACGTCGCGGGAGAATGGGGCCTCAAGGTCATCGCGGAGATCTTCAAGAAGTGCAAGGTGCAGGAGACGCACCAGAAGGGCGACGCTATGGACCTGGACCGTCAGGCTAATATTACGTTCGTGATCAACACCAGCCCATGCGTCATGGCCACCCTGTACCAGGACAAGCTAGGGGAGCATAACATCAAGGAGTTGCTGGGCTTCCAGGCGGCGATGTCCAAACAGGCTCTCAACTCGGCGATCGCGCACCAGGGCGGCAGCAAGAGCAGGTCTGGCGGGCCGGAGACGGGGCCCGAGCGCACGATCGAACGCCAGCTCCACAAGAAGAGCGGGGCATGAGAGATCAGGCGCTACGGGGTCCACCAGTTACCATGAGCAGCAGCCCGCCAGAGCTATCGGAGGCTGCTGCAGGCTCCGCGCTTGTCGGGCTACCAACGTGTCGACCGCCTTGCCAGTTCTCCCGCCCGCCGCGAGAGAGGAACAAATAGCTGCGCAGATCAGTCAGGACCTCGTGCGATTTTCAGGACTACGTAATCGCGCACGGGTGCGCGGCGGTTATCTGTCTATTCACTACGTATGGCCACCTACTACAGAGACTTCAGGTCCAGGGACTACTACATGTGACGGGCGAGAGGGGCAACCCCGACGGGCCCCACCACCTCCACCGCCCCCCCCCCCCCCAATCGCCCACCGCAACTATAATTGGGTTTTGCACAGCGACGGGTGCTACGAGGATCTTGGCTTGATTGAGTCTCAAAGGGCCCCCTCCACGGGCCCCTGCAAGGCCGCCAAGGAGCTAGCCCAGGGAATCGAGCCGTGTCAGCAACATGCGAAAAAGCTACTACCTACCTGCAGTGATTCAAACTATGTTAAGACTATGAGGGACAAAGGTAACAACAAAAACGGTTAGGGCTCCTTCCAACTTAGGCACAGGGACTAGCAACGTTGGTTAGTAACTCTGCACAGAACACAGAAGGGGCTCCATGCAAGGCTCACGAGACCACAAGCAGACGAGAGAGTATCGCCAGCCAGGAGATTTCTGCTTCTAACACAAAGAACGGAGGGCTACTACGCCCAGGCTACGACATCACAGAGTTCGCACCACTTCGGTCCGCATCCGTAGCATTTTGGCTCCATCTAACCAGGCTTCCAGATGCGAGCTACCACGTGGGCTCCACCAAGCGGGCTACGCAGTTACGCAGTTACGCCATGGTTCCATCTCCGCGCGGAGGCCGTGCAGTGGCGCGGGCGGACTCCCCGAACACTACGGGTGGTCAGCAGCAGGACGGCGTGAAGAACTGACCGGCCCTCGTCCAGCGAAACAAGCACCGCAACGGCCAGGGCGAGCTGATCTCTGGCAGCATGGAGTGCAGGCCCAATCTCGCCCACACGAGCCTCTTCACCAATCCGAAGCTCTTCGAAGACGGCCTTCCTCCAACGCAGTGGCTGGTGAACGGGCTTCAGCGGCAAGAAGAGCGCCATGCCAGCTCGCTCGGCCGCCTCAAGTCGAACGCGAGCCAGAATCCGTGCGAGGAGATGGAGAGGGTGCAGACGGTACTGCGTCTCGAGCACCATATCGACAAGGTAAGGAAGGCGCTCGATGCTGCATCAGGACTAGAGGGCATCTCTACCGATCGCTCCAGGCACCTCCGCGGCCCGCTCCCATGGGAACACGACTGCGAGCGCAAGCAGCTCGACGATATCGACGGCTACTACACCACCAAGTGGACCAAGGGCGCGAGCGGGATGGGCTACGACGTCGTGGAGCCGCAGACCACGCAGAGCCCGCTCCGCCAGGACACGACGCACAGCAAGTTCCAGCCGCGTGCGCCGTGCGGCAAGCCGAGCGAGCCTACTAAGGGCTGGGAGACCATGGACTACCAGGTCACGAGCGAGAGCGGAGACATCCGCGCAAGGTGCAGGTTTGCGGCGGCGGCTGCATGATGGGGCCTTGGCATGGACTGAATTGGAGGCCTGGGGGTAGATGCGCAACGGCCAGCGTGAGAGCTGGCACTACATATCCAACTCAGACTATTGCTGGGGTACTACGCTCGCAGGGGCAGTCTTATCGTATCCAGAGCAGGGCTTGCCAGAAGTTCTACTTTTACTATTGGGAACGGCTCTGCGACTAGTCTGCTAGCACTCCTGCCGTCCAGTGAGACGGCCACTACATTGCATGCTGTCGCCATTGCTGCTCTTCTCTCTCTGGGGGAGGGGTGTGTGGAGAGGGTGGGGGAGGGGGGGAATGTGACGAAAGGTCCCCAGAGGCGCGGCCCCGCTCACATCGAATGTGAGCAGCCGTGCCTCATGTTTTTTTGGTTCGTTCCCCAGCAGGGCAGGGCCTCCTGCATCGGGGCAGTGCGTCCCCTACTTCTGTGTAGGGCGCGCGCGCCCCAGGCTGCCCCGAGGGTCAAGCGATCCACGGTTGCTGCATCCATCTGCTACCTTGGGACCCCAGATCTAGTACTAGTGCCAAGACTAGCGCTCCCCGACGCGACGGCCTTATCCCCATCCTCATCCTTATCCTTATCCATATCCTTATCCTTATCCTTATCCTTATCCTTATCCTTATCCTTATCCTTATCCTTATCCTTATCCTTATCCTTATCCTTATCCTTATCCTTATCCTTATCCTTATCCTTATCCTTATCCTTATCCTTATCATTCTCCTTATCCTTATCCTTATCCTTATCCTTATCCTTATCCTTATCCTTATCCTTATCCTTATCCTTATCCTTATCCTTATCCTTATCCTTATCCTTATCCTTATCCTTATCCTTATCCTTATCCTTATCCTTATCCTCCTCCCCCTTCCCCTTCCCCTCCTACTCCCCTCCCTCCTCCCCCCTCCTTACCTCGATCCTTCCCCTCCTGGTAACCCTCCTTTTTCTCCTCATCCTCTTTACCCTGTGAGGTTGGGAGGCGCCTTCGCCGTATTGGGGAAGATTTCGGGGGAGAGATTCCGTGGCAGTCTCCAGCGGCCGCTCCCATTGGTGCCGCCCCCCTGCTTGGCAGGCCCACGGGCGAAGCAGCTGGGTGAGGATCCCGCCTTGGGGAGTCGAGAGAGAGAGAGAGAGAGAGTTAGGAGAGATATCCAACCAAACACAAGAGAGAGCTAGCGGGAGAGGGGGACCGGAGATATGGGCAAGGTAGGCACTCTCGCGCCATATCCGGCATCCAATCCGTCCCACCTATCCCTTCCCATCGTGCGGATTTTTCTGTATCCGCCGACGGGTGTCAGATCGGACCCCGAAGCCCTCCAAAAGGATATCATCGTGCTATGCTTTGGGTGTCCCGAAAGGGGGTCCAACTGAAACGGGGTGGTGCAATAGATTTTGGGCAATCCTATTGCACATGTATTGCGCCAGAGAATTGTATTGCATTGTATTGCAAACAATGAATTGCACGCGAACATGCAACGATACATTTGCGCCCCGAGATGTATTGCACGCCCCAAATGTATTGCAAACCCATAAATCTATTGCACTAGATCTATTACACCACCCCTTTGTCGCTGGACCCCCTTTTGGATCAACCCGATACGCGCAGTCAGAACAAAAGGGGGTTGTGTACATTGGATGAGGAGGAGGAGCGGGCGCATGAGCAGGGGGATGCGCAGGAGGAGGGAGAGGAGGAGGAGGAGGAGGAGGAGGAGGAGGAGGAGGAGGAGGCGGAGGCGGAGGCGGAGGAGGAGAGGAGGAGGAGGAGGAAGAGGAGAGGAGGAGGAGGAGGAGAGGAGGAGGAGGCGGAGGCGGAGGCGGAGGCGGAGGCGGAGGCGGAGGCGGAGGCGGAGGCGGGCGGAGGCGGAGGCGGAGGCGGAGGAGGAGGAGGAGGAGGACGAGGAGGAGGAGGAGGAGGAGGAGGAGGGTGAGTGCCCACCCAGGACGTATCAATGGCGTTGCAATGCGCTCTTCCTCCAAGTTCCCTCTTCACAGGTCCCGACAGTGTCTTTTCATTGCGGACTGTGCCCCGTTGGAAACACAACCGTTTGAGAATTTTCACTCGTGTCCGCACGCCATACTTGGGAGTTCAACGCCGTGAACCAAGTCGACTGTTGCGTCCTGGCAAACTTTAGTCATGCCAGAACCTACTTCCAGAGATGTCAACACCGCGAATCAACTTGATTGTTGCGTCCTGATAATTTAGGATCGTGCCAGAAGGTCCTCCCTGGGACTTCAAGCGTACGAATCCTCTGAACTTTTGTAAACTTTCAAGACGAATGTGCGCGGCTTGAAGGCGATAACGACATTTTCAAAAGGAGCCGCCCTCCATCCCTGAAGCCGCTGCAAGCTTTGAGAACGAATCTGCGCGGGGCTACCGTGAGAGCCACGTTTGGAGAACGACCCCAGCCCCAGCTCCGCAGTCCACGGGGCGTGCAGGTGGCTGGCGTGCCCCCCCCTCTGACCAGGAGCAGCATCATGGCTGGATAAGCAAACACGCACGGATCCCCAGCGGGCGTCCAGCGCCCTCCCCGCACGTCTTGCGCCACGGGCCACCTCCCTGGGCGAGCTGCGAGGGCAGCCGAGGCGGTGGCAGACCCACCAACGACTTCGCACACGGGCGGCCCCGACGCGGCCCCGACTCCGCAGCCCACGTGGGATGCAGGTCACCAGCGCTGTCCACCACAAACACGCGCGGAGTCCTCAAGGCGCCCTCCCGAGTCTGCGCTCCCTGTGGGGCCACGAAGCGTGTCAGGGGTTTGCCGACCTGGGTGCGGTGCCGCCGTGTGGGCGCTGCCATTTGGATCTTCGGTGGAGCTCCCCATGGCTTATGGGGCTACGAGGCGTGTGAGGGGTGTGCCGAAATGGGGCGCTGCCACCATGCAGGCGCTGGCATTGGGGCCTTTGGTGGACTTCCCTACGGGGTGACTCACAGGCGCGCGAGGGGTGTGCCGAAATGGGGCGGTGCCGCCATGCGGGCGCTGCCTCTGGGGCCTCCGATGGACCTCCCGACCTCCCTGTGGGGTCACAAAGCGTGTGAGGGGTGTGCCATCATGGGGCGGTGCCGCCGTGCTAGCTCCCCGCGGGGCCACGAAGCGTGTGAGGGGTGTGCCATCATGGGGCGGTGCCGCCATGCGGGCGCTGCTACTGGAGCCTTCGGTGGAGCTCCCCGTGGGGCCATGGAACGTGTGAGGGTGTGCCGACATGGGCATTCGGAGAGCAGAGGCAGGAGGGAGGGGGAAGAGGGGAGGAGGGGTCATCACAGGATGCTTTGGAACAAGGAGGAGGAGTAGTAAGAAGAGGAGGAGGAGGAAGAGGTAGGAGGAGGTAGGAGGAGGTAGAAGGAGGAGGAGGAGGAGGATGTGGAGGAGGTGGAGAAGGGGCAGGAGGAGGAGGAGGAGGAGGAGGAGGAGGAGGACGGAGGAGGAGGAGGAGGAGGAGGAGGAACATCGAGGGAGGGCAGGATACGAAGACAGAGAGGCGACGCGCGCGGTTGGAACTGGCGGCGGGGGGGCAGCCGAACAGGTCCGGCCCTTTGCGGCTGGCGCCCGACGCATGGCGGCGGAGCCGAGCCTTCTGGAGGCTCCTTTCCCTGGCCGTCGCCGTCGTTGCCGCCGTCGGCGCCGGCGCCGTCGTCGTTCGTCGGCAGTGGTTCGTCGTTCGGCCGTCTCGTCTTCAGTCGTTCGTCGGTTGGCTGGCACCTGGATCGTGGCTTAGTCGTCGTCTTCGTCGCCATTCGTCGTCGTCGCCGTCCGTCCTACGTCGTATTCATCGTCGTCGCCGTCGTCCGAGCATCGTCTTCCTTAACCGTTCGACGCACGTCATTCGTCCAACCTCGTCTTTCTCCTCCTTCCTCTCCTTCTCGCTCTCCTCCTCCCCCTCCTTCTCCCTCTTCCTCCCCTCCCTCTCCTCCCTCTTCTCCCTCTTCTTTCTCCTCCTCCTCGCCCCTCCCCTCTCTCTCCCTCCCTCTCCTTCGCCTCCTATACATACATATTTGTACACATACACATCCCTATACGACCACCGTTCGGGTCATGAGGAGGTTTCGGGGTGGGGGAGTTCAGCTTTGAAAGAGCGCTCTCGTGGCACGCTTCCACTAAAAGGGGGGGGCTTCAAAGCTACCTCCCCCCTTCCTCCATTTCGCGAGCTTAGGGTCGGCCCGGGCTCCCCTTTCAAAGGGGGTGGGGGGCTTCGGGAGTAAACCCGCCTCCTTTCTTTTCTCGTAGCCTGGATTGCGTTGCCGAGAGGGGGGTGGGGTCGAAGGTACGCCTTCCGTTTGGTCTTTTCCGGATCCGAATGTTCGGCTGGGCTTGCCTTTGCAGGGGTGGGGAGGGCTTTTCGGAAGTTATCTTCTGCCCCGCTCCTTTCTTATCGCAGCGGGGGGTTTGGCAAAAGGGGCCCAAACATGCGCCTGTTGCGTTCGCGCGGAGCATGTGTTTCCACGTGTCTCGGGCCACGATGGGGCCGCACGCGAGGGACTCCACTTGCGGGTGGCGAATTTTCGGCTCGTAGAAAATATGTGCGCGGAGGGGGGGGGGCCAACATGCCCCTGGCGCGTGCGCGCGAAGCAAGTGTTTTCACGTGTCCACGGGGCCCCAGGGGGACTCATCTTGGGGGTGGCGAATTCTTCACGCTTTGCGTATTCCCACCAGCCGTCTCTGGTCGGCTGGCGCGTCACTCCCCCGCGCCCCTGGGCGCCCTCCCGTGCCGGGGTGGCCCCCCGCGGCTGGGCTCCCGGTTCCCACGCCGGCTCGGTGGAGTTAGTTCCCACCTGCCCTGGCCTCTCCATCCCGCGCGAATCGCGGTTTCGTCTCCCTCTACGGTGGAGGGTACGGGCGCCTGTGGTTCAGCCTAGGCACCCTCGTGGTTCCACCACGCTGCGTCCGCGATTTCGGCTGCAGTGTCGGTGTATACCCTCCCGCCGTCTGTTCGCGTCTGTCGCCATCCCTGGTGTGTCGACCGCGGACTGCGCCCCC